GTCGGCACACTATGTCCGTCACTAGTGTTTGAAAGATGCAAACATTGCGCATGGCATGGCATCGGCATTACATCATCTGCGTCTGCCTCTTGTCCCAGGAAGTGATCCTTCGCCACGATGATGCGGGCTGCACACAGGGCAAGCAATGTAAAATACCTGTTGAAGCTTTCATGGGACTCGGGTCTGGCGTATCCGTCATAGGCGGCGATCCCACTCTAACCGTAGGGGCGTGACGCTTATGTTATTCTTCCGTTATAAACCGGAGGTTGAATATATAGTGTGCCCGATCCTGGTCGATAGCTAGGCCGAACGACATACAGTATGTGTTTCGCGCGTGTGTGTGTCATCTCTGCAGGTCGAACGCTTCGAGTTATGAACTGGAGTTTAAACACAAATCTTCCTTCTTATCCGAGGATGCGCCTTTTCGAAATGAAATACTCAAATCGGCTTCACAAAAGGGAGGGGAGGAAAATTTCACTGAAAACCGGAGATTAGCTCCACTCTCGCCATCATTCGGATGGACGCCGCGAGGGGGAGCGGCCGTCGTACTAGAATGGGAACGCTGGCGTCGCTCACTGCACAGCATGAAGTGCTCTGATTCCAAGTTCAAACTTTCCATTCGCAATATATAATTGAAATGAAATGTTGGCAACAAAGACCTAAACGTTGGGATTGATTTTACGACCATCAGGAGACTTCAAGCAAATACAGTGAATTCGACGCATCTAAGAATGCGTGATCCCAACTTGAATTCATTCTCTGAAAGGTCCCAAATCTAATATATACTCATACGCCAAAAAAGTCACACCAAGAAGGAGTTGAGCGAACGTCATGAAATTTGGCAATCATACTCGTATTAGTGCGTTATGAAATTGATGCTAGTTTAAATTGATGCTAGGGTTTAAAATTCACAGAAAACTTACTAAACACCCAATTTTAAATGTGGTCGGAAGGGTCGTACTTATCGCCCACAAAGAACATCTGGAAAGAGTTTAGTAATGAAATGCGAAACAGGAACATCTACTACTGTTTAGTACAATGAAGCAAAGTTTAAAGGGCATAGGATGAAGCGATGCATGGAAAACTAGCTGAGCTAGCCGAACGCCACGAGGGATGGGGAGTAGGGCGACTACACGGATCTGGCCAGTTTCCTTCCCTGCGTCCCTCCATTCGCTCTGATTTACTTCAATCGTTTATTTTTGGTCTTTAAACCCATGCCAGGACGACCTCCACAGAGGCAGTTTCGTCAACTTCATCAGTTCTATTGAGGTCGGTTATAGACGATCGTGACTGAGTGACTGACTGACGCTAATTCTAACCATGTTCATGAGAAGCTAGAAATCTGAAACTTGGTGCACATGAACCTTTTGCGATGTACAGTTCAGAAAAATTCAGAATTTGGAGGTACATGACCTGGGGGCACCCATTTTGGGTGGAGACGTTTTCAACGGTATATATTTGCTTCCGTTAGACGGAGAGACACGGGAATCTGAAACTTGCCATGAACAATTCATAAAAAATGTCCATTTTCAGATCCATGCCCTGGGGGCATATTTCTAGGGTTTGACGTTTTCAAATAATTGCTTTTCTCCTACCGAATTGGGCAGAGATAGAAAGGTGAAACTTGATACATAAGTATCTATTGGGAATCAAAATCCAGAAAAATTCGGTCTTTGGCAGTAAATGCCCTGGGGGACTTATTTTAGAGGAGATGTTTCCTAATATATAGTTTTGCTCCAGTGAAACGGATAAACATGGAAAATTGAAACATTGCATGGACGTATCTACTGAAAGTCTGAGTTTAGGAAAAATGTCAAGTTTTTTATATATGCCCCGGGGGCATATTTTTTTGGGTGGTGACGTTTTCAAATAATAATTTTGTCCACTGAGTTTTACAGAGATAGAAACGTGAAACTTCACACAACCATAACTGAGGTGATGGTGAGTTTAGAAAAAACTTCAGGTTTTATGGTGCATACCTCCAGAGCACAGCTTTTGGATATGTCGGCTTTTCGAAAGATATGTTTGTACCAGGAAAAAGAGGAAACTGATAAGGTTGAAACTTGATATGCCTATAGTTCTAGGAGTATTGATTTAAGTAAAAAAAAAAATTTTAGGTGAAACCCTTCAGGGCATATTTTTCGCAAATGGTGCATTTTCCGGAAACTCTTCCCATTCAATGAAAGAGAGAATTAGTAAAGTACAAACTTGGAGCAGAAGTACCTGTTTTATTGCTAAGTGCATTTCCAACTTTTGAAATGAGACCGCTCAGGACAGATTATGAAAATATTTGAAGGTAGGCACATGAGAAATAACTGGAATAATTATTTCAATGGATATATCTGTTCGTTTTCTCTCGGAACAAATTTTGACATGCACATACTCTGAATATGTTTTAGCCGCCTTGAAAATGAAGGAATGAATGAATCATTAACTTGGATAATGGAGCGCCGAAGACGCGACCATAGCGAGTTTGTTTACCCTTCGCGCAAACAAACTCGCTAGTATATATATACTTTCCAGCTTTTAGTACCTTTCAGGGGGCGGGGGGGGGGGACAACGAAAGGAGACTCTCAAACAATCACGTAATTTTTTGAAATAAAATGAATGCCCAAGAAGCGACGAAACATGTACCACAAAGTGATTGAGGTGTTCCATGTGCCCTAGAGTACAATACTTTTTTCCAAACCCAAAGGAAAAAAACGCAAGCGATGAAACCCCAAGATTTGGCGAAACTGAAATAAAAGCAATTCTTGTCTCTTTACAACTCCGTCTCCTGCTTCTGTTGTTCCTCATCCCGTTTTTCTTCCGCATGTCCTTCCCTCCTGTATGTGGGAAAAGGAAAGAAGTTCAATCGAGGTTTCATAAAATAAACCTTTGCAATCCAGAGCAAATTCAATACGCTGGCTTTCTCATTTCACGCCAAAATGTTTTTGAGGAATGAACTGGTTAACTTCTCCTCCAAGTAGATTTGCAAATATGGATAGATGCTTGTGAGACAAATTAGGTAAAGAACCAGCGTCCCATGACACTCGCACCTAAAGATCGGTTCTCGAAACAAATGAAGACATCAAATGAAAGGCCAATAAATCAGTGTGAATTAGCTCTCAAACTAAAAATAAATATATATAGCGGGAATATTAACCCCGTTAACTGTTTTCGATGTAATATTACCCTCTGCTGCATACTCTGTATTCAGTTACTTTTCTACGTAACGTTACGCTTAACTTGAATAAGAGTCTGCTAGTCCTGTAAGTGGGTATTTTTGTAACTCTACGCTCAGTTTCTCGCCACCTTTGGCCAGAAACAATAGAAAATAGATTTTTATTTCAGGAGGCTATGGGTTTCTTGCAATCAGCAAAACATGGCTGCTCCAAAGAGACCTAATACTGATGTTTGTCGTGATAGCGATGAAATTGTTGCGTTATTATTTAACATTGAAAGTGATGCCGATGTGCCAAACATTCTAGAATAAAGTGACAGTATGAAAGCGGGAAAGTGATGAGGAAGATCAACGGGTAAATATTGGTGTTCCAAACCCAAGAAATGCGAGTCCTGAAATGTGTGGAGCATGGTAAGTTGAATAGACCCATTGAAAGATGCCAGTTTACGGGACAACCTAGCATAAATATTCCTATTAATGATGCGAATTATTCACTGCAGTTGTTTGACCTGTTTGTGGCAGAAGAATTGATGGAGCTCATTGTGGATGAAACTAATATGTATGCATCACAATAGCTGTATTTCAGGCCACTCTCGAGGTTTTCTTGGCTTCGGAAGTGGAAATACACAATTGCAAATGAAAATAGGATACAAATGGCCACTTTCATGTTCCAGGGTATTGTTTGGAAGCCAGAATTGAGCCACTATTGCACAAGAAAAGCCATATTTGCTACTTCTGGCCTCTCGAGAGCAATAACATTTGACAGATCGGTGTTACTGCTGAAATTTCTTCTCAAAAAAGTCTAAGATATTTTTTTTTTACATTCGAGTTTTTCAGTGTGGAAATATAATTCCTTGGATCTTGCTGTTTTTGGTACTTTTAATTTCATGAAAGTACTTCAAGTAGTTTAGAAGATATTGTATGTTTTGTTCGCCGGTGCATATATAAGCGAACTGCCTTAGGAAATTAAAGCAGGGAGGGTAAGGAGACCAACGGAAGTTGAAACAGAAGGGGTTCACAAATTGGACAAACGGACCAATCTAATTACGTTTCAGCATCATTCGACGCGGCATAAAAACTGTCGTATTCGGATTTTATTCGGTCTGACTTCACCGGGGAAGAATTCAACAACATTTTCGATTTTCTTTAATACCATTGATGACATTGAATTCAGCAAATCCATATTATCCACATAAACCACATATATATCTTATTACTTGCACAGCATATTAGGGAAAGTCACGTCGTAGAGCATGCATATACATTAGAGGCTATTCTATCATTCTCGATAACTGCCGCATTTGAATTTATTTATTTTTAGCCCATGCATCCACGCACTTTTAGAATAGAAACGTACAGGGGGTTACAACAGTCAGGAATCACAGGGATCTATGGCCCAACATATGATCCGAAAAGGCATAACCATGTGGGCTTTGCGCGATGGCCAATGCGAAAGGCCTTCGAGGCTTTGCCTCTCTGGTCTGTAGGCTAGGGCCATGCAACCTTATGATTTCTGACATTCAATACACCCAGTATAGAGGTGGATTTCATTTTTACAATCGTGAATTTCTTTCAGAAAAAGGGCACATATTTTACAGGTTTTAGCCGATTTCTCTTGTAGTATTGTTACCAAATGGGGAATTGTACGTATTTATATCAAGAACCTGTACTTCGCCGTTAGCAATGAAGACGAGAAGGTGAATAGCCGTCGCTGTGCTTACGTCTGATCGTTGTCTCAAACTTCGTGAAATATGCTGGGAGGTACTCTTTGAACAACTAAGCGACTCTCTTTAAGGGCCACATCGAGAACAAAAAAATTACTACAAACATTCTCACATTATGGTGGGCAGATGACGGCCTCCTCTTCTTTCGAGAATGTCGAGCACCAGACATCTGGAATGCTGGCGCAGCATTTTGCATTGTGCACGCCGATTCCATCTGTGAAATTCTTTGGGCAGATGAAGAGAACAATTCCTCCTTTCGGGGCTGGATACTCGCCCGTCCAATTCAGGTAAGACTCCATTGCGTTCTCGATCTTCGGATATTCCGTCAGGCACAGATCTGCATTAGTTGCGAGAGAACACTTGACTCAAAATGACCAAAGAAAATATCGCTTCCGCTTTCACAATTGTTACAAAATATGATTCTATGAAATGTGAAAACCAATTTTCAACCGCCCCCCCACCCCTCCAGTTTTTCTAAGGACTCACTAGCGTTAGGCCTAGGCCTAACCAACATAATTCTTTCAGGTCACTCCAAGGCCTACATTTTTCTTTTCAAAAGAATCTCAATCAATTCTCTACTTACGCGCAATCGGCCTATGATGGGAATCGCTGTTTTCGAGACATCTTGTTCAGGACGTGTAACTTTACGCCAAGAGCAATTTACTCATACATTCATGAACCATTTCAGTGGGACGTGGAACGTTCGACCTTTCTGGAGTTCCTCGAACCATCTCGAATAGCTCTGAGGAAAGAATGCCCTTAAGATGCATGGAATACATGATACGCGCCATCCTGTTAATTCAAGGATGTCCGGATAATATACCAGTATATTCCACCACATTGATCGATAACTGCTAACCACAGCTTCATTCTCAACTCATCTCATTATCTCAGCACAAAAATGTATCATTCATAAAAAACAGATGGTCCAGACGCCAATACGATGGTCTTGAATACGGCATAATTTTTGCACGGTATCCGGCAACACTGCAGGACGGTACCGGAGCTAGCCCTCTTAGCCTAATTGAACGACAGCTAATTTCATTTTTTTATGGCGAAATGGAGCATTGCAAACAGCAAAAAAGCCAATTTTCCTCACCTACGAGTCAATATCTTCCTTATGGTTGGTCTCTTTCCTCCAATAACCCCCGAGGAGTGGCTACCCAGCCCCCCAGGGTTGCCACTCCTGTGGGGTTTTCGGAGGAAACGGAATGAAATTCACGCCCTCAAAAACTAGATTCAGCGTTCTCCACAATCCCGGGGAGATGGAGATTCAAATTTGCTGGGGGGATTCTGTGGTGAGAGAAGAAGAAGAATGCCAGATTTCGTTCCTCTCTTAGAGAGGAATAAGCGGAGGTTAAATTTTTCTGCGGGAAAGAATTGAAGAAAGGCGCTACTATGTATCCATACTATGAGAAGACTCAAACCGACAACGGCTTGTATTATTATGGTTTTTTTTTAGGTATACATTTGCTCATTTGCCCACCACGTACATAAATTGATGGTGATTATAATGGAATAGGAAAAAAAGGAAAAAGAGAACATGAAAATAACTTATATCGCCAGGGGAATCAAGGAGCCGAAAATGAGAAAGAGAGCGAGTGAGAGATGGAAGTGGAGAGAGAGTTATTATTTATGAAACTGATGAAAGGAACAAATACAAATAACAAATATCAGAAGCAAGTTATAAACAAGTAAAAGAGAAACGAAAAAATAAATAATTGGCTTAACAGAAATGTGGATGAGCATCATGAATCGGAGTCTGAAAACAGAAAAACGTGAATGAAAAACAGAGAACTTCGAAGGGAATCAAAATCCAATGAAGAAAAGTGCGGACTAAACGGAGCTCGCCATTCAGTAGCTAGGAGCACAGGTTCAAAGATTTCATGCTTTTGTTTGATTGTTCACCTTTGCATACCCAAGAAACATCAAATTAGTGACGTTTGGTTATTGACTTGTTTTGTTTTAAGACCTTATGAAGTCGACCGTTTCTTAAAAATTGTATTCCATAGGAATTTTTCCTCTTATGCTTTCAGAATATTCAAAATGGTTCACCAAAATGATTAATCTCAGAATATTTGCATTGTAATAAGAAAAAAAAACCTGAAAAATAACTATTCCAAATGTTTTATTTTCCGGTTTCCTTCACTTTTGCAACTGAACAATTATAACTTTGGTGTGAAATGGGGGAGGACTTCACCGAACTATCGTGATCGCTTTTTGGGAAGATAATATTTGAATACTAATAAAATCTCTAGTAGCGAATACCTAACTCAGTTATTGTATGCTGGTTTTCCCTCTGGATTTTTTCTCCAGGCACTCACATTGGGCGTACGCCTCGAACCCTTCCGCTGGGACGAGGACCTTGCTTTCGTACACCAGTTGACAGGAACCATCGGATTCCCTGAAGTTGAAGGCGTGGCACGGCTGGGACTCCTGATTCCTGATGCACGTGTTTTTGCATTCCGCGAAGTCAGCCACCTGGAACTCCATGGATATGATCCCGTACCGTTTCTCATGATGCGTTGGCCAATAAAGCAAGGGTTCCATGGCAGATACAGTCCAGAACAGATAGGAAACCGCTCCCAATGTCAAAGAGTAGTCCATCTTCCTGTCACAGGTACATAATGTCACAGGGCAAATAATGAAACGCATTCGCATGAAGCGGATCTCACCAGTTGCTTGAAAGCGAACCACTCTCCTTTAATACTGCAGGATGGCGTTTGTTTTATGCTACATATGAGGTAATTATCATAGTGCAGTATGTCTGAATCCTCAAGGGCACATTTTTCAGGATAATTATCCTGACAGATTAATTTTTCTTAGGCCCAGACTTATACAGTAATGCGGTATGCAGTACTATACTTCCAAGAGCATATGATGAGATGAAATGGAGGAATTATATTAATTAAAGATCTTTCGTAGAAGCTTTTGCACGCACATACACCAAGAAAAGTTAATGAGACGTGAATCTAGCCTTCCATGCTGTTCGTGTTCATCTTGAAATCCGATATGTTCGATCGCACTTTCTGATAGAGTCCGTATGGAAAAACCCAAGGCCTTAAGGAAACGGAACGATGAGTGATGCCCGCCTCTCGAAGTTTCTCGACTGCAAATGTTTTAGGCACAAAAGCACGTATTCCCCTTTCTTTTACATATCCTGTTACATATTTCTATCTCCTGCTACTGGGGAAACCATAGAATTTTGGATTATTAAGATGCGAATTTGATGCTGGGATTTTTTGTCTCTCTCTCCCAAGGAAGAAAGAGAAAAGGTAGGCAGCCACGCCTTGCTGATTACCGGAGAAAAACATCGTCTCGTGTATCATAAATTTGCTTATTTAAGCAATGCATCAATTTTCTGTGGAAAATGATATGATCCTTAATTGCATTATGCTGAGCGTGCGGGTTCGAGTTTAGTTTCCATGCCTTAAAGAATTTCATGGTGGAGTTACGTCGGACTAATGGCTGCATCTATCTTTATATGAATTATTGGGTGTATGTTTTGTAACGTACGTCTCATTTTCGTTCGTAGTTCACAGCATGAAGCGATAATAAAGCGGTCGTCAACGGTGGTCGATTGATGTGGTACGATAAGAATATTTGGTGCAGGAAATCCATAAATTAATGGGATTGCGTCCAACAAAACATTTAAATGTCAGGTGCGATTTCCCCACGTATTTTCCCATGAGAGATTTTCCGTTCCACATTCCGCGTTCTCTCTAAAACGGTTCGTAAAAGCCGAAATAGGACCACAAGTGTATTAAAGTTAAACTTCCTCTTTGAGATTTCTCAAAAACCCCAAGTTAACCCTCATAGCTTTGATTACCCTCATAAGTCAATGATTCAGAATAGTTCCAGGGAAGATAAGTATGCCTGGCCTTACTATATGAGTCCCTTGGAGATAGATGAGGAACGGGGCTGGGTGAGGGAAGTATGGCGGGAGGTGACTGAAGAAAAGGTAAGCCTTTCTGAAATGGTTTTCGTCCTACTTCATGAGAAGCTTCGCTGATTTCGCCTTGTTTTTCTTTTTATTCCCACCTCGATCGTTGGGAGATTCAGCTTGAGTTCCCCTTCAAATACTTTACTCTTCCGCTTCTTTTGTGTCTATCACACAACCTTTGGCAAAAAATAGAGTTAGCATATAAATAATCTGTAATGTGTTTCGGATGAATTCCATATGCAGGTACATGTTTTGTGGAAGTGTAAGTGTAACTGCTGGCAATTAGATATGTATTATTTTCTTTGCATTACCCGTCCCGCCCCCGGTTTACAAATGTGCTTCACATGAGTTTTAAGCATTGAATCCTGCTGCAATATAATTTTATTTAATTTTAGTGCTTTAAAATGCCACGAAAAAAGATTGGGTAGTTTAAACTATGTAAAAAATGATTGATTGAAGATTGCCTGGATTATCCCAAGCCTCTCACTCTAAAATAAGCGTCGTCACTGGCAGTACTCACCAACGGCAGACCGCTAGACACACTGTGTCGACTAAACTGGATGTCCTTACTCTACCTCCAACAAATCCACAGGTCGATGGTTGCCTGACTCCACGTGTCTCGAGAAAGGTTCTTCAGACGAGGCTGCGAATCAATTCTGTTCCACGTGGAAGAAAAAGACGTAGAAATCCATGGCAACGGAATTAAACTTTTACTCATGTTAAATGAAAGTGGTCGGTTCGTGCCAGAGTTGCTAGGAGACCGTGTATAACATTGAGACTTCCTGCTCCTATAGTTGGGTATCTGAAACCATTCCTTTATCATCAAACTCAGTGAACCGATTAGGTCAGGTTTTCTGCTTCCTGCCTCGAGGAGAGGAAGAAAAATCACACATCGAAAGATGATCGATTTAGTACTATCCACAAAGGCGGTGAAACATGCATGCTGTCAGAAGCGATGAATGCTTCATGCACCTTCAAACGAGTAAGTAACTTCACCTTCAAGGTTCTTCGATGCATCTCAACCTCATTCGTTTTTCAAGGTTGGCGGGAAAAGGGGACGAAGTTGATGGAAGTGGGCTCACACGTGTATGACCTATAATCATTTCAATAATTTATTCCAATTTGTTTGACTAGGAAAACTTCGTACATAAGTAGATTCTTTCCTTGCAACGTATATTTCCTTGTTTCGCAAATTTTCGCTATTATATTACCAGATTATCTTAATATCACAAAAATTACATGTCATTAGGTTGACATAACAGCATGACAGATTCTTTTGGGTAAGACGAAAGTCTTTTGGAGGGTCTGTTTTCCCTTTTCATCATGATGTGCTTCATTTCTTTATAATTGCGTGGAAATACAATGAATATATTGTACATAAGCCAGCATTGTAGATGGAGATTTAAGATATTTAACGAGCTTCCCGGCTGCCAATTATCCGTTTGCGAACACAGGGAGCACCTTGCGCTTCAATTTGAAATAAATATGTAGCGATGTCAAATTGAACCCTTTCACACATTTTCTATAATTGAATTCGGAATTCGAAAGTGGATTAATAACGTGAGAATGGAATACAAGGTGTTCTAAAAGTTTCTGACCCACTCCCACAAAATATGGCTAAATACTATGTCAGCCAGTGTGAAAACATCCTTCTTATACACACGGGTCACATGAAGATCCGTGTGATCTGCTCCCACCAAGAAAAGGCTGTGCTGATGCAGGGCAGAACCCCAAGCCACACGGCTGACTTCGAGTTATGCGACATCCAAGAAACTTTGGTACAGGTCTAGAATAAGTTACCAATGAACTTTCTGGACCTAATCACCTGGAACACCTACGACACAGGTTCCAACAGATTGCTCTGCGTCAGCTAAACTCAAGAAATCAGGCGTCAGTAATTTCCGGGGTTCATTGTCTCTGGATAGCACTAGATACGGAGTTTTTAGTGTTAATCATTGAACAATTTACCGTAATTACAACCACTTTCTACTTTTCTAATTTTGCGACTCCTGTCTCTGGAGATATCGTTCAAAAAGTCCATTTTGTATGCATCTACTATTCAAAGAGGTCAAAAGTTGTGGTGGTGGTCATGGCTGTCACCCCCTACGCGCGGGCCTACCATGCTGTGCCATTCTGGGTCATAGGCCAGGCCATCCACGGCCTAAAGCGCCAGGCCTACGAGACTATGCCTTTCCAGGTCATCTAATACTTCGAAGACCCCAAAAGTTATAAAGGTGGTGGTGGCTGTCACCCCAACGTACGAGACCCACAAGACTATGTCATTTTAGGCCATGGGCTAGGCCATCCACCGCTCAGAGCACTACGTCTATGAGGCTAAGCTATTCTATGCCATTGGCTTGGCTCTTCAACCCTCTTAGCGTCAGGTCCATTAGTGCCTGTCTGAGATATAGGTTGTGACTCATCTTATTTCCATAAGCTTCACACTAAGCTGTGTCAATGAAAGGGTGCTACTGACTGTGTGCGTGTCACGTTCCATGCAATAGTTTTCTGGTTTCATTTCATGCAATGCCAAAATAATTTGAGTTCTCATGTTTGATGAAGTCTTCATAATCACGTTAGTTTTTGTTTAATATGTCGCTCATACCATCAAAATGGTGGCGATTTTTGGGAGGTGAGGTTAAACGCGAAGAAAAAACGTTCAAGGAGGTCCCACAGGACGGCGATGAGGCAGTCGCTGCAGATAAAAAAAATATTAGTGCCGGCGCAGGAACAACATTTGTCACTGTAGTTGCGGTGCGAAGTGCCCAAGTCGGTACTTTAGAAGGTGCTGGCCGTAAAGTCTAGAATGAGTGATGAACAGGACGCAGCTGTACGCAAGGAGCTTAGGCTCAGATCGCTGAACAACAAGATGCAGCGAATGCTGAGCTCAGGAATAGGAGATACTTGGAGCCTGTTGAGCAACTTGAGGCAGGGAACGCAACATTCAGGTGTCGAAAGCCGAGGGTGCTGGGAATTGAACCCAGACCTCCTGCTTGCCTGTCAGGTGTGCTACCATTACACCACGGAACTCACGACATTTCGTCATGCCTTTTCCAGTCATCTCAATAATTACAGCGAGCACTGTCAGGTTGTACATTTTGCTGTAGAGAGAGGGTATTTCTTTCACATTCCTGCCACAACGGGAAAGTGCTCCTGCTGCAACTCACACTTTTTCAGAGCCTCAGGATAGTGTTGCTCACTGGTGCTGTGTCGGCAAGGCATTTTCAGGAATTATTCTTTAGTATTGTGCCGCACATGCGCTAACCTCCTTCAGTGCTATAGTCGAACTAGTTCTTGAAAATGGCCCATACTGTTTCAGAATCAGTAGTATCTGTACAATAAGCTAATGTTAATAGCTCCATTAACAAGTCGGTGATGCATGAGTATTGAATGTGCTGGGACAACCATATCAGCAAAGTCGTCTGGAGTCTCATGAAAACCTCCTAAACCGATGCTTTCACAATGACGATTTTGGCAACGAGCTTGAACATCATGATGATGGTTTTAAGGAACAAAATCTCCCTGTGTACTGTAAGCTTCATGTGGTTAAATCTAATGAAGCGGTTCAATTCCGAATGGGCAATGCGATGAACAGAGGATGTCGAGGAGAATCATCCTCACCACAAACGATTCAAATTTCCGCTAATAAGACGGCCAGCGTAGCGGCCGCAGGCTGCTAGTGAATATTATAAATGTGATGCGTGTTTGTCTATATAGTCACCCTGGGCGCACAGTGACAATCGCAGTCATGATTATCCTGGGCGACGACTGAGCCAGTATGAAGTACCCAAGCCGAACTAATGCTCTATTTGGTTCGTCTTGGTCACCCTCAACGGAAGCCCGTAAACCATGGTTGGACCTGACATACTAGTATGGCCATTGTGGTGTCCCACTCATATATGTATAATGGTCCTTCACAGTAAATATTCCCTCACAAACTGAGAAATTAGTTGATATGAATTTTTTAAATAGTTCTATCCCAGAACGTTTAGAATTTTTGAAATTCTTATGGTCCATTCGGTGTTTCTGCTATCACAGGATTTCGGAATTAACTTATGTTTACAGTGGCAAGTGTATGTGATTGCTCACGTCATGACCCTCCATATAATTGGGAATCTAGAACGTATATTTTTCAATAGCTGCATGAGTGCAGAAAACATTTGTTCAAAGTAATTTTATCGTCCCTCCTAATTTCTTGTGGAAAGCGCTAGCCCCATTTTGATAGGGTTTGCAGAAAGAGTTGGAAAAAAGTTAGAACGTGCTCCAAGCAAGTTAGTGCTTTGGGAAATTGATCATTGTCTTACATCCTCGTGTTCGGAAGTCGCGAATGTTGCAAGCTTCCTTCGTCAAAGTTAAATGGAAAAGTATATAACATATAACAGATACAGACTTTCTTATATAAGTGAATGAAAAAGAAACGGTAATTCCAATCACATTTTTCATGATGTATAAGATAGAAGCATGAGACTTGATGACCAAATAGCGATTGCGATGCTTAGCTTAAGAATAATCTCACGTTCGCTGTCGTGAAAGTTTCAATGTCATTCTTCTTGATCCTCTTCCTAACTTCTCCATTTAAATTATTTTTGGTCTAAATGTACTTTAAAAAAAAGGATGCAGAGAAATTGCAGACCTTCATTGACCTATAGACAACTTTGCCCGGGAAGCAATTTGTCAAGATACTTCCTTGTTACGTTAGTCATAGCTGATGATGAGAGCGTACTAGTACGTAATCAGTTCAGATTTAATGATATTGCGAGAAATATTCTAGCGAATCAGAAAGCCCGAAGAGTGAGACAGCTTTCCTGCTTTTGCTCCTCCTGTTTCTTAGCGTTTCCTACAACTTATAAAGAGGCAAGGAGGATCAGGTAGTTGCTTCCAACGGTACAGGGTTATTGTAATCCATCTTCTCAAGAGATATTCATGCTCCAAAACATCAAAACCGCATTTATATTTCTGAGGTGTCGCTTGCTTTAACAGGGAACAGGGATGAAAGACTCAAGCAGACATATCAGAATGAAGAAAAATGAAAGAAAAGTTCAATGGCATGTAACATAAGATAATTGAGAAGAAAATTGAGGAGATAATTGAAGGCACATAGGTGCTCGATGAGCCCTCGACTTTAAGTATATTCTTTCAAGCACAAATAATTCCATAGAAGGAGAAATCCCCAAGATTTGACAAATAAAAGGAAAAATCCATTCCTGTATATTTTCTACACTGTCTCCTGCTCCTCTTGCTTCCTCTCTTGTTTATTCTCGGCATCTCCTGCAAAGGAAAGAATTATTGAGTTCCTTAGAGGTCTCAAGAAAACGTTTGTAAGGTTGAACATTGAAACATCGCTGCCTTTCTTGTTGAATGCCACGGATCACTTGATGCACAAACTATTTAAATATTCTCAAAGAAGGCTTGCAAAGAGAGAAACACGTGGGAAAAGTTGATACCGATGTAACGTTCCATGGCAATTCCGATCTGCTGATCAGTCCTCGAACACTAGAAACTCAAATCAATACCCAATCCCGTAGAGCTTTCATTTCCAATCGAAGTAGAAGATAAAATAAATGATGGTAGAATATCGTCGACATGAATAATCGGAATAATTATGTTTCATTTCAGAGGAACGCGATGACGCCTGCAAGTTATTTCACTTAGTTTCTTCTCGGTCTCCCATCCTCTCCGAAAAATAAAGGCAATTATTCTGTGTGTTCATGGATAAGTATGAGTTTTATAATATAAATGCTTACATGTTTTCATCACAGTGGATGGGCGTGACTCACGTTGTCGGGCAGTATATCTAAATTAAAGGATTTATGTTTCATCATCATAATTGTCTTTTAGCAAAAATTAGACGAATTTTGAAAGGCTGTAGAGGATTCATAGTAGATTTGCCCACTACTATAAGATTTTCCGCAATTTAAGACCCTGTACTTCGCTGTTAGCAAAGGAAAAGTATTTCCTCAGAGGATGAAGGGATGTCGTAGAGATTTCGCCTGATTGTTATTTGATGGAGTTAGGAAAATGCATGGGGGCATTCTGTGAACCCCTTAGAGATCCTTTGTTAGAGGCACATCAGGAACAATAAATTGCCAGATCATTCTCACATTATGGTGGAGAGAGGAAAACCTCCTTCTCAAAGAATGTCAAGCACCAGAAATCAGTCGTGTTGGCGCAGCTTCTTGACCCGTCCACCCTCATTACATCAGTCAAATTGCTCATGCAGGTGAAGAATATTTTCCCTCCTTTTGGGGCTGGATACTCGCCCATCCATTCCAAGTACGAGGCCTTTGCGTTCTCGATCCTCGAGTATTCCGTGAGGCAAAGGACTGCATTTGTTGCGATGGCCCAAAAGACAACAAAAATTATTTAAGCAAATGGTGCTTCCCCAAGCATTTTTCTTATTCTAAAAATGTACACATAGTTTTAAATGATCCGAGTCAATACTGGTGGATATGACCATGGTACATTATACTGACATGATACTGTCACAATAGTTTCTTAACCCAATAATGTCACCAATGAAGGTTCGAACTACCTAGGTACATAAATCGTTTTAACCTGAAGTCAACCTTAGAAATACTAAGGATTCTGGAATACCACTGTTACATATTATGACTTGACCTATTAATGACGCATTGGAATATCCTGCTCGTAAAAAGATTTTAAGACAGAACTCTGATACAGTTGAGAGTTCATTTTCACTTTCCATTACATTTGTCGCATCGCGATTTTGACTCTATAGCGGTAACTAGCAACTGTCATTAAATCTTTAAAAAAAACGTTTCATTGCATTCTCAGTACACCTGAAAATGTTGTTTTCGTCCCAAAAAGGTATATAATGGATGTCCTTTACCTTGTTGCACTCATTCGGGTGAATCCAGGCTTAATACAAGGGCACCACAGATTACATTTTTCTTTAGGAAGATGCCTTTCATAGAACATTCGGGCATTGGTTTTGCGCTCATGAAAGTAAAAAAAAATGAGGAAAAATGAATATTTGGTTTTCGGTGCTTTCGTAAAACCCTATTTCCAGCTTTTTTAACCTGGTTCAGAACCTTGGTGACCACTTCCATTGATGCGCTTTATCCATAATCCTTCCACATCTTCAAAATGGATATGAATAGCTAACGTCGTAAAGTGAATTGATATAGCCTGCCTACCAAGGACCTATTTTCGGCGGTATTTGGAGTCTTAAACCTGAAATAACTGACTTGCTAGAAACACAATATTTATATGCAAAGCAAAGCCCTAGGCAAAATTAAATGTTCACCAGGACGGGCGCAGCGCAGTGTGAAAATCGTTACCATAGGAACCAAACAACCCTCTGCACAATTGACCTAACCGTTTTCAATAACAAGTACACATTACCCGGGAAAAATGTGCAATGGCGGCAGGGTAAGATACATGTTTTCAAAAGAGCAAAGAGCATAACGAGCATCATGGCTAGCAGGGTCTTTTTGGCTCCCATCTCAAAAGTTATAATAACCATCTCATTTCATGAATGTCTGGAACGCGAATTCAATCAGTGGAGGGAAAAGAGTAGCTCTGCTTCAAATAGAAGTTTATGATATTGGGCGACTTCCTCTCTCCCAGGAAACCTCACCGCCCAATGAAAAGTTACAGCATCCCATAGATGGATTTTTGGGCTGTCGCGACATTCATGCAGTTTAAGCAGGCTATTTTTTCTTCTTATTGAAGTACTCGATTCCACTTTTCCACTTAATTGCTTAAGTTGAGGTTTCTGAAACGTTAATTGGAATCTACGAACCGACAGTAACAAAATAATGCTGCAAGAAAGTTCTCAAAATTCTCCGAAATGTTAGCATTACATTAGATCAAAGCTAAAAACAAATTTCCAGAAGGATTTTCATTTTCCGATTTCCCCAATTCCGCGACTCTTCACACTTACAACTTTGGTGTAGAATTGCAGTATAGTGTCATTTTAGTATAGTGTCTCAAAAGTAAGTGACTTTGCGAACGCATTGAGCATGACAGACTTTCCACGAGCGTGAGGTATGAGTTTCCTGTTCTTTTACATCAACAAAAATTGGGCGTGATTTCATCATACTCGGGGGCTGGCGGAATGCGAGTGCTGATTTCCATCATTTCGCTTCCATGACATTTTCCAGGAAAAGAGAGCATCGGGGAGGATTGCAGTCCTGAATTATCCACTAACACCCTCCTTCATTTCATCGGTTTTTATCAAGGCCGACAGTCAGTCATTGCTTTGTCATATGCCGCTATAAATAATTGCGCGGTTGGTGTCTCAGTTTCCCCTCTCCCACAATAGCGGAGTCAGTAAAAAAAAAAGCTCCTATAACCAAAATTAAAACATCGCAATATGCAGGCATGTTGTCGATGAGACAAGCATCGAACGATATCGTGTTAGCACGATAATCGGAACAGCCCAAGTTTTTACCATCTGTGTTTTTATTAGTTACTCACATTCGACGTACGCCTGGAACCCTTCCGGTGGGACCAATTGGGCCTTCCTCTCGTACACCAGCTGACAGGAACCGCCAAATTCCTTGAATATAAGGATGGTGCGCGTCTGGGATTCCTTTTTCCAGAGGCAGATGTTGCATTCCGCGAAGTCAGCCACATAGAACTCCTCCGACGAGTTCCTGTATTGCTTCCCATTTGGCGTTGCCCAATTCTCCAGGAATTCTATGGCTGAACCAGTCCAGAACAGACAGGAGTATGCTCCCAATATAAAAGTGTAGTCCATCTCCCTGATCTAAAGGATAATCAAGGAAACGCATTGTCATGGATTGAATCCCAATAGGTGCATGGCTTATCTGCATGGCTTATCCTTCATCTATCTATCATCGACTATCGATGTCGTAGTCACGCTACTCTAAATTGGAAAGTGCGATTTACAAAATGGACGGCTGGATCAGAATGCTGCCTATTTCTACTGCATTCTGCTGCTTTGTTACAAGTTGTATTTTCGATTAATACTATTTCTGTCTCCTTCATTTACATGTGAGGAATTTCATTTTTCTCTGCAGTATATGGATGTTCCAAATTGTAGGCATGTTCAACAGGTGCACACCTATGGCCTGAGCGGATGCACTGGAAAAACTGAATTTTCTTTGAACTCAACATCACGTCTGTTGTGTTTGCCAAGTCTCAACTTTCTATTTCTGCGAAAATCACTAGGGAAAAAAAAATATTTGTATACGTTACCCACAACAATTAAGCCCGTATGGGATGCATCTCAAACTAGGCATTTTATCGGAACCAAGTCTTAATAGGCACGTTTATGTCAGTTTTCAGTTATCCATGTCTCTCCGTTTAACTGAAGGATGAATATTTGATAACATCTGCCCCCAAAATGTGTGCCGCAGGGTATGTACCTCCAATGTCGGATTTAAAAAAACTCTAAATCTGAATAGGTACTTACGTACCAAGTTTCATCTTCCATCAAATATAGAGCATAGTTAGAATAAGCGTCAGTGAGTCATTCACGATAGTCTATATAGGCTTATACCTCATATATTAGATAATAAATGCTTGGGGCTCATTGTCCTATGGGAAGGAATACTTTTTCGCCTCGATCAATCTCTACCCCATATTTATCGGAATCTGGACCCAGAGTAATGTCCTCGGCCCTCTCACAAGAAGAGTGACACGCGAGGGTGAAAGCGGCGGGATTCCATCTTGATGGGATAGAACAGTAGTGTTCACTCTTCGATCGGAAAGACGCCGTCGCCCGCGTCGTAACCATACCGTTTCTCTAGCGCATATTTTACTTCGTGGCCAACATGAAAAATGATGAAGATGGACCTGAAGAGACGATACGCACAGTGTCGCGATCGATACGGGGTGAGAGTGCCGCTCACTAAAAGCCTGTATCATAGGCTAATACAACACCGTAGGTAAGGGGTGAAGGGATGCGCAATGCGTAAGATGTTCGAGCAGCTCCAGAGTAGAGCGTTGATAGCTCCTGAATACCCGAAAATGATATGCGTTTGGCTTAGACCGAGCCTGAGTTCGTGGATGTCTTCCACGGATTGGAGGTCTCCGTCTCACTCTCGAGGGAGAATTTTCGGTCTGGACTTCACGACTGTCGGATCCGTCCTCGAGAACAGGGGGAACTGCTGCTGCGTAAAACGTTCAGATTGCCGCGATCAAGACTTTAAGAACAGTAATTAAGGACGAGTGGGAGAATCTAAATAAAGAATTTGCCTGAAAAAATTGACAGACTCGATGCCGGGTCGATTGCGTTCTTTTGTCGAAGTGCAGGGATATTGTATTCTCTATTGAGATCAGGGCTGTGTACGTACTCTCTGTTGATATTAAAGGCTCTCCTACATCTCTCTTTGAATAAGAGATGAGAAAAAGTTATTAATATCGCAAGGTGATTCTCGGCAGACCTGCTCTACCTATAGAGGCACGCCTGTAAGCCGAATTTAGTGAAAATAGGAAATTAGTTATTTTTGTAAAATGACGTCATAAGATTGAGTTTCCATTTCATCGCTACGTTTTATTTCTTGACATTTTACTAACAAATCTAATACTATCTGGAGGGGCTGGGAGAGGCATTTCATAAGAGCCATAAAGCATCTCTTTACCCTAAAAATAATAGAGTTATAAACGTATTTAGGGACAGAGGTGCTAAAAGATAACTAAGCAGGTATTATTTTTAGAGCCTCTCATCTTTAGATCAAAGCCACTGAGGAGAAAAAGATTTTGGATTTCCCACTTTCTCAGTTTTACAAGGCGTTGATCCAAATTTCATCAAAATCAAAGGTCATGTTTTATAGTGTCTTGATTTGACATGGAATGACTCCTCTCTTTAACTGTTTTTTTTTCTCCTCTCTCTACTGTCAGATGACCCTTCAGGTCTTCTGAGAGTGGAAAGCGGGGGGGGGGAAGCGGTTACATTTTAGATGAACGAGGTGATGACGGTTTGTATGGGGACGCAATACACTGAGAAAGGTTACAGAGGGAATTATTATTCATAGCTCATATAAAATTATTCCTGGAAGATTAATAGCGAATGGAAGAAATTCGGCAGAAATACTTCAGATTACCACGTTTTTTGCAGAATCTCCACTCAAGTAATACTGTCGTCACTAAGAGAGGTTCAGAACCACCAGTCCCATAGACTCCTGTCACCGGTTCCCTGAACGGAATGGCCCAACGCGCGTCCCCCACATACATATGTCATTGATTGCCGGAGTCCATGACTCGTGAATGGTTTTCCAGACGAAACTGCGAATCGATTCCGTCGCACGTGGGAAGGAAGCATGACGAAACTTGCTACACTGGACGTATCCTTTACTTTCGAGTTTCATGAATATTTTGGACGTTTCTCGGCTAGCTGGCGTTGCCAGGAGAACGATAATAACAGAGCAACTCTTCGATCATTTCAAAAGACTCCGAAGCGTTCATTTCATCAGTGAACCAATTAGCGCACATTTTCTCCTTCCTGTGTCGAGAAAAGAAAAAAAGAAAGATCATTCTCCATGAGATGAACGGATCCAGTGCTATCCGCGAAAGAGGCGAAGATTGTCTACGGCCGAAAGGCATGAATATTGAATGTTCCTTCGTATGAATAATGGACTTCGCATTCAAGGTTCTTCTATGGATCTCACCTCCACTCACGTTCCAAGGTTACTTGGCAAATGGAACGAGAAAAGTGCTCCATCGAACTACGCCCACATACGTCCACATATTCCTTTTCTACTGTTTCCGGCCAGGAAAATTTTCCCACACGTTTTGGATATTTTCCTTGAAGTGTCTTTGAAGCTTTCATTTCCTTTGCAAACTTTCATTCATTTCAATTTAAAATCTTTACAATTCTTTTCATTGCCCAAAAGTAATTTATTACACATATACTTAACTTCACATGTAAGGGCTTACTTTGGATAGTGAAAAAGCGTACTAAATGCTCTATTTTGCACATTCATCTTAATAAGCTTCATTTTCCTTGAAATGCGTGTTATGAACATGCCTTAGTTGTACACAAGATATAAGTGTATATCCCTTGTTACGAATCCTAAATACTACAATACAAATGTATCTGTCCGCCGACTTGAAGTAGCATCCTAATTTTCGCTTTGAACAAAAAAAAATTTCAAATCAATTTTGCCGTGTGTGTGAAGAGAACATGTCAAAACTCGTAACGTAAGAGTTAATATTTTCTTTGTATTTCATTGAAAGCATGTGCGAGTGCCGGAGTCGCCAGGAGAACAAGACGAACGCTCGGAGTCCTCGCTCTTGCCGACGGTAATACCGAAGCCACCTTTTTGTCTTCGTATTCAGTGAAGCGACCAACTCCGATTTTCTGTTTCTGACATCGAAAAAAAGGAATGAAAAAACGCGCAGCATGGGATGATCAGATCCAGGGAGAGACAGGATTTCATTAAACCCGCGGGTTTAGCGAAATCCTGTCTCTCACTAGAGAGTTTCGAAATCCCACAAAGTGCCAGAAAACCCAACGCCATATACATACTGCACTAGTGTGAAAGCCAGCGCACGCACGGGACGAAAGAAGTTGAATCAAAACATGAAATTACGTGTCATTCATTGACTCAAACCACAATTACGGCTTTTCAAACTCATAATTAATTAACTCATAATGTAATTGCTTCCGCCTTCTTTTAGTGGTACCGCGGGCCGGATCCGCCCAGCGAAGGTGGTTCATCCGACTAGTGGTCAGCTCTTGAAATTTCCGCTTGAATTGACTGTTAACAAAAATTTAAATGAAAAAAATGGGTGCTGCAAGCATGCATCTGCAGGGTAAGGAATGGGGCCCGCCGACCGATTTGAGTTTGACTTCCCTGCCCAAGAGCATCTGACATCTATTTCCTTCACCGAATTGGTTTTCATCTATACCAAATCATGACCCCTTTCTTCATTATTTGATGGACTATATGAAGCTTCTCAAGGTAGAAAGTTTCAAGATCATTGCACATAGTATTGCATACAAAGGGAACTATACTCTCCAGACTTCTGTAACTAGGTATGTACACATCCATAAACGCTGTTTTTCTGCTACGAAGAAAGATCCGAAAAGGATGGGGAAATCATATTAAATGTTAAGTTTATGTGCAATAGGAATGGTGAAATTATTTAATGATGCTAGTAGCACATTGCAAGTCACATGAGCTCGTCCTTTCCATCAACATCCACATACTTCAGGAGTTACTGAATGAGTGACTGCTCGTCATTTCAAACTCACATTCGTCATTCATAAAATGTCTAAAAGGCAGCCAACCAAATCCAACACGAATGTGCTTATGTGTGAATGTGGGCAAGGCCTTCCTGAAAAGGATTAGAGCAAAAAGTGATTCTTTTTGGCTAGTTCATCAATGTATGATTCCATATTGTCGAGATATATTCATTCCCGAAACGCCCGTCTCAAAAACAAGTTTATTTCCAAGATTCCACTATCTCTAATAGGGGAATATCAATCTAGAGGAACTCAACACCCCAAAAAGCTGTTGATGTGAAATTGCAACCACACGAAGTAAGAATCCGAACACACAATCAATGTAGAGACCCCGTGAGACATTGAAATATTTAATCGTTCTCAAACATATGATTGTAATGTCCAGTGCAACCCCAAGATTTATTGAAGAAAAGGTAATAGTCCATGACTTCTTATTGCTTCACCTCCTCCTCTTCCCTTCTAGTTCCTTCAGTTGATCCTCAACAACACTTCCTGCAATGGGAAATAATCATATAGTTATATCGCGTTCCCAAAAACATGCTAGAACGGTCGAACGGAGGTGCAATTTGCATCGCTCAGATTTACTACCGCAGACATCTTGAGACTAGACTACGTTACTCTATAATTATGTGATTTAGGTGCATGTAGAAAAATAGGTTTCCGAAAATGTTTGAAAAGATGCAACTCCCCCGCTACTCCGCTTTATTTACTTGTTCTCGAACCAGCCGATGATATATATTGAAGACGTAATGCATGCAATACATTAAAATCAATATATGAACATAAAAGGATGTCAAGGTGAAAAGTCAATGGAAACACCTAGCACGGGAACACACTATTCTAATAAAAATGGTACGCTATGAAACACGAACAGATCACGCACTTAGTTTTGACTTGGTCAGTCTCTTCAATGAAAATGTTATTTTCAAATATTACTTTTCCAGTTGATGTATGATGACAAATTGTTGCTGAATATGTTCCATTTTTACAATATTTACCTCGCAGTTCGTGAGATACTCGTGAGACAAAATTAACAACGATGGGATGTTCATAATGTTTCTCAGGAAAATTTTAAACCACAGGTCATTCAGATGTCCACAAGTTGTGCTCGGAAATAATACTTGCCTTTTGGCAGTTCCACACAATATTAGAATATTGTTTTGACCATTTGGTGGATTCCCTGAATTTAAATGAAAATCCAAGACATCAGGGCAAGAAATGAGAAAATCGTGAATCCGAAGGGAGAATTGAAGTTAGTCTTTACGCTGTTCTTTCTCACGGTCAGAAATATCCAGGGGTAATCAATGGACACACCTGGGAGCTCTGTCGGAAATAAATGAATCAGGAATCAGATGGTGCCAATAACATTCTCACATCATGGTGGGCAGATGATGGCCTCCTCCTCTTCCAAGAATGTGGAGCACCAGACGTCTGGAATGCTGGCGCAGCATCTCGCATTGTGAACGTCAATGTTGTCTGTAAAGTTATTTGGGCACGTGAAGAGCACCATTGCACCTTTCGGGGCTGGGTACTCGCCCATCCAATTCAAGTAAGACTCCTTCGCGTTCTCGATCCTCGGGTATTCCGTCAGGCACAGGACTGCATAAGATGTCAGGTCACAAAAGACCACGTTAAAAGTCGCAGCAAATGCAGGCGCTGCAACTACTGGGTAAGCCAAAATAATTGCCAAAGATTTGCCATTTTTATTTAATTTGGTTGACAAATAGGGTGACTCACTTAGGATTTGTGCAACAGGTCTTTAAAAAAAATTCCAGAAAATGTGAGATTGCCATTTAATTTACATTTCCTCGCCAGAAAAGAATGTGTTCATTTTTTATTTCAGCTTAAAATCTTTCAGAATTGATAAAAGTTATTTTAAAAAAAACAGAACAAAAACAAATGCACAAGTGCCTACACTAAAGCCCACAATTTGATTTAGGGACGTTCATTTCAACTGAACATGTGCTCAATGTGTCTTCCATTCTGTTAAACACTAGCCCCAAGTCGACATCACCACAGATGATTGGCTCGGGTCAATTAACCTTTCTGGACGTGCCTTCCACTCTTCCTTTGTTTCATCTTGCAGGGATGGAAGTTTATTAATTCGAACCTCCCATTCATCCCTGCCTGAAGTTAATATCGACAGCAACCATCCAAAATACTCAAATCTCGCATGGCTCGAGCCCTATCAGCCTGTCCACTTATAGAAAAACATATTTTATTGTCGTTGGCAAATTTACTTAAAACACTCTCTAAGCCTTGATCAAATCATGTATGTAGACCTGAAACGGAGGTAGTCCCAGGACCGAATCCTGAGGGACCCCGCTTGCCAAGTAACACAGCATGTTGTTCAAACGTTTCCGAAATGTTGCCTATGTTGCTCTATGTTGCAAGTTGCTGTACAACATGGAGAAAACATGGCTCCAATGTTTTCACTTGGAATGTTGCTGCGACACTTCTACGAATGTCACTGTAACGTTAGCTATCAACATTGAATGTTGACACTCTTGACATCGACAACGTAGCGACAACATTCTGATACAACATGGACTTACCCAAACAGCATGTTTATGTTAATTTTACGTAAAATGAATGTAAATTGTTTGCCCATTTTATATCATTTTTACGCAAACCATTGTTTGTCCATTTTATATCATTTTTACGCAAACCATTGTCAAGAAAATGTCAACATGTTTGCAGAAATGTCACCTCTGTGATATGTAAACGGTGATATAAAATAAACGTAAATTTTACGTAAAATTGACATTCCCGTTTGCATTCAAAACACCATGTTTACATTCATTTTACGTAAGATTTGTGTTAATTTTCCCCTGGCATTCATGTGTATTTAAAGAGTCAACCAGTACCACTGAAGATAATTGACATACTAAAACCCCTATTCCTTTACGTTCTTCAAAACTCTAGGGTGGTTGGACGAGTACACGAGTACTCATCCTCACCAGCACTCTAAGAGTACCAAAGTGGCCTACTGCTTCCTCCTCCTGTACCGGAACCTCGGGAGGAGGAACATATGTTCAAAGGAGCTCTCTTCCTTTTAGGATAGAGAAGATATAGTACTTGTGGGGCCGGGATTCAACTCTTCCCTAATCCCGTGCACTGCTGAAATAAAAAGCTTCACTTCAGCATTTAATGATTCCCTGAGTCATATATTATTAAATATATATATATATATAATAATTTCATTTTTTCCATATATATATTCATGGATTGCATAATAAAAAGTGGAAGGATGGTAAGAAAATCTGATACTATATAAGGAAGACCAGTACTTAACAGTAATTGTAGGATGCAGGGAACAAATGTTCCATCTAGTGAGGAATCTTGGTACTGCAACTGCAGGATGGTCAGCTAAAGTTTCATATGGATGGTGTGGTGTTAATTTTAGGGTACAAGGGTTCCATCTAGTGAGGAATCTTGGTACTGCAACTGCAGGATGGTCAGCTAAAGTTTCATATGGATGGTGTGGCGTTAATTTTGCATAAACTTGATATCATGTACTTCACGTCAAATGGAGTGACGTCTAGTTTACGTAAAATACAGGTACACTTTGGTGACGTAAATATTGGAACGTACATTTTGCGTAAACATGATGTCATTTTCGTAGCAATCGCAAGAAATTTACATTGTTTGCAAAGAACTGATATCTTGTTTACATAAACATGCTGCTTCGGAGGATTCAATTACAGAATGTTATTAAGGTTCCTCCATGAGTCAGAGCTTCATAAAGTGAAACTGGATTCAGAAGAGGTTGACTGTTAAAAAGTTTCTAGCAGAAAAGCGTGAAATGTCATGAGCGTTATTATATTGCCGTAAATCCGAAAAATGTTCGAATTTAAGTCTCCTTTTTTATTTTAAAAGGATGATGATTCGTTCCGTCACCAGCGAATCCCAAATGTCAATAGGGAAATTTTCACCTCGTTCCGTCCCCTGGCATTCAAGTGAGACTCGATATTCAATAATCTGCCTTCTTGGAGATAGTTGTTAGATAACCTGCATTTCGCCTGGATTTTTTTAATATAGGATCCATAATGACGGCTAGTTATCACTCGTTTCTAATTATTAATATTGGTAGCTACTTTGATCATTTGTCTGCAAGAGTCATTGAAGTGACTGCCTCTTTTTTTTCGTGCAAGATGATATCAGAAATGTGACCCGCATATGCATAACGAAATTATAGTAGACGTAAACGAAAAGGGTCGGAGCCACATCAGTCAAACGTAAGGTATTATCGATGGCCACATTTCACAATTGGGTTCATGACATATTTTTGTGTCATGACCGTCGACTGGTGAAGAAGCCGATTGTGGTCTGTAGATTAAGAAGAAAGGAACATGAAATCGCAGGCTACATCAAGTTGACCAATTCGGAACAATGTGATACTCATTAGTGAGCCTCTTGAAACGGTAGTGGCCACTTTTAGTCCTGTCCAGCCTCTCTGTCTGCCCATGTATCCCTCATTGGTTAGCTAGTGTTATTGATGGTGTTAAGAGCGTTTAATGACGCACCTCTCGCAAAGGCATAACATGAAAGGAGGTGCTATGATTTCCTATTTCTCTCTGCCGGTACCTACAATCGGACTGGAATGTAATGACATTGATATTTTTGCCTGGTAGGGGACAGCACGGGTTGCTTTTGGAGAGACAGGAGGACCGACGCCTCGCTGCGTTCACACATTAACATTATTTTCTTTCTCGCTTTGCCCCTTCTTTGAACATCGGTATCAGCTGCTTGCAACCCTGCAGATGGTGTAACACCGGCTGCCGGCACCGGTGTTTGCCGGTACATCAGGACAGCCACAGTCGAAAGCATGAATTTCGAATGAACAAAAAGTTGGAAAGAGACTCTTTCACTATCGGACAGGGGATTGAAAATTCCTTTTAAAAGAAAAGTTGAGACACCGATCTGCCTTTTCCACTGGTAATTGTGGGATTGGCGGATGCCAGTAAAAAAAAAAAAAATTAGCACTTGAAGGAGTGAAAATGAAAACGCTTGAGTCTGCTGAAACGTTGCATGCGTCATTGCAGGAATGCGTCCGGGTAAGACATTGAGTCGGATCCAGGGAAGACGGAAGATAAGTTTTTTTTCTGGCTTTCAACAAGAGCGGATACCAGTTTTACAATGGATCCGTGGGCATTCCCTCGCAGGAAGTGAAATGAGACAGGGAATGAAGCGGAAATTACCAAATATCAGCCAAATACGCCAAATTCGAATGCGCGAAGACGAAAGAGTTCGAGACGGGCTACGTGCGTTGGAAGCGAAACCGGCTCGGGGTTGATGACTCCGAGGAAATACTTTCCGTTTCTTGCGATCCCCCCGGGGGGGGGGGGGGGGGGGGGGGGGGGGGGGGGGG